TTCATTTTCGTTCAGTTACGTATTGCTGAGCGGAATCACGATGCAGATAATATATATAAAACACTAATTATTAATTAGACACAATGACAATTTACAAGTTTAAAAATATATTTATAAATTGCCAAACATTTTAAATTTTAAGTATATAATATACAAATTATTACAAATTACAATTAATATATTATAATATGTGTTTTGTACAAATGGAGCATAATAACAAAAAGTAAAACAATATGTTATTATATGTTAATTTTATGATATTTTATTGATGTTTAAAAAGTATTAATTTTGTAGAATGTTCTAATTTTTACGATCTATTAGTTGTTGTGATATGAATTAATATGATAAAGTCTTGAGTGTAATATAAATGTGCATAATTAGTTTAGCTGTAGGAGATGATTATTGAAGGGTTCTTGTTCGAGAAAATGATTTGATAATGAGATAAAATATTGTGTATTAATTTTCTCTTTATTCAATTATAATCCTCTTTACAACGTTTGACCCATCAATTCTTTGTAGGCATCCACAGATACACGTTTATATTTTAAATTTCAATGATATCTGGATTTAAGTATAGTAAACCACCTCTATTTTACGTCAATTAGAGCAGGTCCCGATTCTTTTGTTCCCAAGATTTTTCACAAACTGTACATAGAATTTTCTTCTTTATTTTGTAAACAACAAATCCTGCTGTAATATTTAACATCATTAAGGTAATTTCTGGTAACTCATAAATGTCTAATATATCTTCTGTTTCAATTATTTCGGTTCACCGGCACACCAACAAATCTAGCATTCAGATTGCTCATCTTCTTTTGGTGGGCATGATATTCTTAGAATACTTGTGTCGTCTAATGCTAAGCGGTGGCAGTCGATGGACATTTAACTTCGAAAATTTGATTATAATGGTTGTATGCAGCTTCAAACTGTACTACAGTAGGATTATTATTGAAACCTCGCAGCTCTAATGGCTCCAAGCGCTTGATTCTATATATGGTCTTGGTTAAATATAGGTAGTAAAAATTGCAATAGTTTGGTTTCTATAAGCTCACTGTAAAGATTTTTAATAGTTTTTAAACATGTTATTAATCCTAAAAATCAGTCTTGCGTTCTGAAATTGTAACACTGATCTTTTCCATATTTAGGTGGTTTCAAGACATTGGATGCCATTTAAATAATCTATAGATTCGTCAATGAATATTCAAGTTCAAAATTATCAGACAGTGGTTTGTTGAAAGGACTCTTACTCAAAAATTTCTTGAATTTAATAAATCAAATATATTAATCCTTCGACAAGGATTCAATGGTGGCAGCATTTCAAAGAGTTTGTTGTTCTTCAGGTCTTTAAGCAATATTCAAGGCATCAGCGACTTTATTTTGAAAACCTGTGTTTGCTAAACGTACCTTCATTTTCTCGTGATAATGTATGTGTCTTGTTTCCTGGTGGCAGCAACGTAACCAGACCAGTCACATTTACATATCGACCTTAAATGTTTAAATAATCTATTTAATTAGTTTATTATTTTGGTAAACCAATAATCCCAATCGCCTAAGCAATTGTATTAATTTAACCATATGGCATGGGTCAGAACTTCTATGTACATTATCTTCTGTTAATGGATGTTTAAAATTTACCTTTAAATCAATAATTTAGATTAGCACCAAACAAAGGCGCCATCGACATAGTATTAGCCGCCCATCAAAAATTGTGTTTTATTATAATACCAGTTTCTGTAGTTGATCGAACAGGAATTGCAATATTGGATTTTCCTACTGCAGATATTCCATTGTGACTAAGTAATATGCAATTTACTTTAATGGAATTAAACCAATTCCACCATAATGACAAAAACACTTTAGCATACTAGGCAACAATTATCCATGAATTTAGTACCCTCGCGACCATAATCAATATATCTTGATGCCTGAACCTGTCTAGGCTGAAACTGTTGTTTATATTTCAATTTCTGCTCTATGATCAAACATCCATATAATTGTTTACATTATATTTTCATTTATTTACTTTGTTTGGAAATAGCCGAAAAATTCTCTATACTCCCGGTGAACCATTATACAGTATATTACATTTTCATAGTATTATATATTCACCAGAGCTTTTGAAAATATTTTGGCTGTATACACACAGAATGGAGAGTACTAATAGTAATGTGGGCAGAACTTTCTAACTCTGGTGTAATATTTACACACTACCTAACTTTTAGTTGGCGCATAAGGCAGTATTTTCTCATCAGATGCAATATTCTAAGGTTGACAGTAAACTCAATTTAATTATATATTTTTAAATGTTTTATTATTATTATACTGATTATATATTTTATATTAATATTGTTAAAGTATCAAAAATACTCAAAACATACATACATACATGTAGAGATTGTTGTAGTTAATAACTTATATTTGAGTATTCAAACAGTTTATAATATATTCAAAAGGGTATTCAATCTGTATGAATACTTTTAAAGTATCATACCAGACAAAGTATTAATTATTTTAAACTGTTTTAAATAATAAAGCATAACTATATTGTCAGTCTCATCTTACCACATACAACATAATAAATTTTCGTTATCCTGCCCACAAGGTTACGTAAGAAGTCAGAAAGCAGAAAGGACGAAGAAGAACAAGAAGTAGTAATAGACCTATAAACTAACACCTTATTTCCATGTTCTTTTTCTTTCTCTATTTGTACACTGACCATCTAGTCCTACGTTGTCCATTGGTTATAGGTCTATGGAGACAACAAACGTATGGGTGGCATCTCTTAAAAGTAACTTAAACTGTATTTACCTTTAACATGTATGAACCATTAGCATTTAACTTGTTTTGCGACTGTAAATCATCAATTAAACTATTAAGGTTATTTATTTGTGATTTAAGACTACGATTTTTTTGCTGTAACAATTTAATTTTATCATTTTTAGTCTTAATCATTTGTTGATATGTTTTCCAAAACATTTTCCGTTTTCTAGGTGTCTCTAGATCTTCCTCAGAAAAGTCTCCAGCATATCTCAATAGTTTACGTTTCTTTTCTGAAAGATGGACTGAAAATTCAAGTACACAGTTAAAATTAATGAATGTCTTTTTATAATTAAAATGTTACCTTTTGTAATATCAATATTTTCATTTGCTTGCAGAATAATCTCTTCTGTATCATTATTCATTGAAACTGTAGAATTGTTTTCATCTTCTATAATAAACATATAAACAATACATATGGAAGTTTTAATTTGTGTTATAATTATATACTAACCATTTACTACTATTTCTTCTTCTAACATAAGATTCTCAAGATTGTCATTTACTGTAAGAATAGGTTTACCTGTGGACATTGATTCGCGAACTTCAAATTCTGTTGGAGATTAAAAAAAATGCATTTCATTAAGTAAAACCTAATAAAAATGTATTATTTAATTTTTTTTTTAATACCAGGGAGTAACGATTTTCTTGAACAGAAGAACCTAGATGGTACCGCATCTGGCTTCAATATATCATTTCCAAATGATGATTGATAGTAATCATCATTTGTAAAATGTTTGCTACAGAGCCTAGTATACTGAGTTATGATAACAGGAACATCTTTTTTTATTTGTGCAACCCATTTTTCCCTCAGATTTATATCTTTAGGAAATCTGTAAAAATTTTAAAAAATATTTGTAAAATTCATGAAATGATCCAGTCTATAATATACAAGGTGATTTTTTTATCATGAACCACTCATTATTTTGAAAATATTTTTTAAGTTTTTTAATAAAAAAGTTAGTTTTTTAAGTTTTTTTAATAAAAAGTTAGTTTTTTAAGTTTTTTAGAAAAAATTAAGTTTTTGATAAAAGAATCATCCTGTATTATGAATAAAAAAATATTTACCCGTGAAGTTTGACATTGTCTGTCTTAGCAGAACCACAACTATAACATTTTTGAACCATTATATCAAAATGATCAAAATAAAAAGGCTCAATAGGCAACTAAAAAACTCACTGTTCACGTAAGAACCAGAATATGTTCATCGACAATTTGTTATTGTTTATTTTTATTTGTTATGGTAAAAAAATGATAATATCACTATCACCATTATTTTGCCATGGAGTAAATAGTTTTTTTTTCCATGAGAAAACCTCTTTAGAGTCTTTCTCACTCGCACATATGTTGGCTTCTATAATTTCTACATGTAATATGTGTGGTTCGCGGTCTATTCTATTATATGTCTATGACTGCTACTACCAGCGCTTTACGCTTGAAATCAGAGTTGAGAATTTACGTCATTCGGTGATTCGGTCTTTTGACCGTAAACCGATTTGATTCGTTGGGCCATTATTGTTCTGTGACATCATCAGTCAAACCACTCAAACCGAACTGAATACCGAATAACCTAAAAACCATATGACCGAAACCGAATCATTTAGACATTACATTCGGTCGCAATTCGGTCACTAGACTGATTCGGTCATTTTGATTCGTTCGTTCGCGACCGACCCATCTCTAGTACATCTACTTCAGATGCAGTGAAATTTTGCCGTACGCTTAATAATCTTATTATTAATGTCAGTGTTCATAATTATGAAGTTATATCACAGAATATAACAGTACCTATATACTATATAGTATAGTTATATACAAACAAGTGAATATTTAAATATTTAATAAAAACTTTCAATTTAAGTGGCCCTCACACGATCAATATTACTGACAGTATTTGGGCTTACTGACAGTATAGTCCTCAAACGGTCAGTAAAAATTAGTGTCAATTCACAGTATTGATCTCTATTTCGATTGTGCGGGTGTTCGTTTAAATAAATAAATATTTTTGTTTTATTTAATAAATAATTTGTTAGATATGGATGATAAGCAAAAAGCATGTTTAGCAATTATATTAGCTTTTTCCGTTTCAAATAAACGAGTTTCAAGAAAACGAAAACGATGGGTGAAACAATGGATTTCCAAACGAAGACAGTACACTCATTTAAATGTCATAAATGAGGTGCAACTTTCAGATCCAAGAGACTTCAATAATTATTTCCAAATGAACATTGACATTTATAATCAACTTTTATGTATGGTAGCACCATTCATTACCAAAAAAAAATATCAACATGAGAGAGAGTATTTCGGCAAATGAAAGACTGGCTGTTACGTTGAGATACCTGGCAACTGGACGAACTTTTGAGGACCTGAAATTTTTCTCAATCATCTCACCAACAACCATAAATCTAATTGTAATCGAGACATGTCAAGCAATAAAACCTGTGCTCAAGAATTATATACAGGGACTTCAATAAAAACAATCTTTTATTATTTTCATAGCACAAGATTTTTAAGTTATTACAAATTATATTAAATTAATTATTAAATCCTTTAATATATAAAAAATATTCCAAACATTAACTTGATAAACTAATAGTAATAAAAAAAAAAAAATAGTTAATAACAAAATCAAAACGAATACACTTGACATTTATGGCATTTGTTAAGGTAACTTACTTTTAATTAATGGTGTTATGTGTTTGTTTATAAAATATAGACATACTAGATTTCATTGCTGAAAGCAGAAATATATAACTGTATTGTGTTTGGTTGTACATTCTGGTCAGATATTGACATAGGTGGTTCAATCAAACTGTGTGAAATAAGAAGTGTTGATGTATGATTATAATTTGATGATAGTGGTGTCGAAGAACGACTATAACATGTTGATGGTTGAGAGCTCAAAGAACTTTCATTTATTTGAATGGAGTTCCTATGCAATGTCCCTAGTTGTGCTTCAAATAATATATCATTAATTGCCTTCTCAGCATATAATCTTTGGTTTGGATCCAAACATTTCAATTTATTGGTCCAAACTTTGGCCAGATGTAAATCACTGTCTTCTTTTGTATCCTGTTTGGACAAATATCCACAAGCCAAGGAAAGTAATTCATTTTGTTGAGTAACACTTGTAATTGAGGACTTAGGTTTTTTAGATTAAGATTGAACAAAAGATGCATTTGACTCAACTGACACACTTAAATCATCAATCCTTTCCTAAAATATATAAAATATATTTATAAATAAAAAATACTATTAATCAATTTAACTATAGTAAAACCAACTAATAAATAATATATTTTTAGCTTCCAGAAACTGTTGAACAATGGCGAAATGTCTCAAATGATTTCGGAGCTAAATGGAATTACAGTAACTGCATTGGGTCAATTGATGGAAAACATGTTAATATTAAAAAACCGCCTAATTCTGGATCATTATATTACAACTACAAAGGTACATTCAGCATCGTGCTAATGGCTGTTGTAAATGCTAACTACCAATTCTTGATGGTTGACGTTGGAGCTAATGGTCGAATTTCTGACGCTGGAGTTTTATATTATACAAGATTTTGGGAAAAGTTTCAGAATAATACCCTAAATATTCCATCACCATCTTGTTTACCATACACTACAGAAGAATTTCCTTATGTATTTGTTGCCGATGAGGCTTTTTCATTAAAACCTAACTTAATGAAACCTTACAGTCAACTAGACTTAACTAATGAGCGTCGTATTTTTAATTATCGACTATCCAGAGCTCGTCGAACAGTTGAGAACGCATTTGGAATATTAGCTAGCAGATTTGGAGTTTTTCAAAAGCCCATAAACCTTGGACCACAAAAAGCAACTATAATTACAATGGCTTGCTGTTATTTGCACAATTTTTTAATTGAACATAATCAAAACATCTATTGTTCACAAACTGTACTGGTTGAAGAAAATATAGAGACAGGTGAAATTGAAAATGATAGTCAAATAACTTTACTCCTTTGAAAAAAGTACCCCTTCGCACAATAAGTTTAAAAGCAAAAACTGTGAGAGGTAAATATTCTAGTTATTTTTGTCGAGAAGGTCAAGTACCGTGGCAGTTTAACATGGTAGGTTACTTTTATTTTTGTAAGTTTATAATTAATAAACTATTATGTACAAATTATACTAATATATGCTATATTATAAATTTTATATTTGTATTTTATTTGAATTTAAATAGCATTCTAGCAATACTATATTAAGGTTAAATAATATATAGATAAAAATAAGTATAATAGTGCATTTGGTTATAAGTTATAAATAATTAATATATATCATGTTTTATAATATCTTTTAATCTATTTTACTTTTTTTTTTCATCAAAATTAAATATTTATAAAATAAATTTCATGAAACTGTAAAACCCTAGTTGCTATATTTAACTAAAATGTAAACACCATACCATACGATTTTATTTAATTTAATTAGGAAATTAGGTTTATCATACACGATTTACGAAACCGCACTACTTAAATTATTAACCATATTATTTAACAATAACATATTATTATACAAATACTATTATATACAAAACATAAAATATCTAACCGTTTCTTCATTCATCGACGAAATGCTTTCAACTGGTTTTTCCAAATTCGTCAAAAATGTTAATTCCTCAAATATCCACGACGATGGTACATATATATCATCTGATCCAGCTCAACTTCTTTTTAAATCATTTATTTTCTTCAACTCTTTTCGAAAGTTACTTCTTAAGGTGTTTATTTTTTTTTTTACTTCATCAACAGTAGCGTCAGATTTTAAACCCTTATAAATAGTCAGTAATTTTTCATAAGCAGCATTTTTTTTATTCCGTTTAGTGTACTCCTTACTACGCACATCCCATAATTCTGGCAACTGTTTATATTCAGCAATAAAATCACGCAAGATTTGTTTATCATCTGTACTCGAATCACTCGTACCCGTATTTCGGCTTTCGTCACCCATGGCTGCGAAAAATATACTGAAGAACTGTCATTATCCACCACACACGGTCAATATCTTTATCAGTAAATAAATACTAATGACTCAATATCCGAATTTTTCATCAGTCATCAGTATCGTTTTTCCATACTGACAGTACATCAGTACTCACATCACACGAACAATAATACTGTTAGTATCCAAAATACTGTCAGTAATATTGATCGTGTGAGGGCCGCATTAAACATAAACATTTAATTCAAAACAATATTATAATAACTGATATTAATGGTGGTAATACAATGTCCACATGAATGAGTACCAACAGTAATGAAAAATAATGAAAATATTGTATAAAAACAATAATATCGTATTTTGATCTGTGATTAACTAATCATACCCAAATCACCAACCGTACAACACAAGGACATTTAATCGAAAATTAACATTTGATTGCCGATTAGCTAATTAATGTTTAACCACAGAACGGTACAACTGGCCCTTATAGCTATATTAAAAAAAAAAAAAAACAAATCATGTACGTAATATAACTTGGTGATATAGACAGTCAACAACAGTATCTTTTTTACTTTTAACTAATTTATCCAGAAAATCTATAATAATTTGATTCTGCTTTGCATTAAACCTATGTAGGCGCCAATTTTTAATGCATTCCATGCATCTCTGACAGACTTTTGTAGACTTATTGACATTGTCGTGGAATGATAACTAAAAATATAAAATTAATATTATTCAAATCTATAATCAATTATTAAATTTGTAGGTACTTAAACACATAGTAAAAACCAAAATATATTATATTCACACTTGTCCTATCACCTTATTGGTTTCTTCAAATCAAAAAAACCATAATTTAACATATTGATAGCTAAAGCTTATTTTAATTTTAACTCCTTCATGCATAACTTTTTATTTATCTCTGAAAAAAAATGAGGTTATAGTAAAAGACGTCAGGATCACGAGAAAAATAGTTAAAAAAATATTTGAGTCAAACTTTCCCTTAAAGTTGATCAAAGTTTAATTTGTGCCAAATATGGCACTATATGCACCAAAAGTTTGTTTGTGCCATATTTGGCCATCATGCATTAAAGTATACAATTTTTATTTGTGCCATTTCTAGCTATCGTGCACTCAATATAATAAATTCTCTATGTGTGGTATTTGTTTTCTGTAAACAATGGTATCTATTTGTACTTTTTATTTGGAAAAAACTGGATTAGTACATTTTCAAATATATT